GAGTTGGGGTCTTGCTATGTTGCCCAGGCTGGTTTCAAACTCCTGGGCTAAAGGGATCCTCCTACCTCAGCCTCTTGAGTAGCTGAGATTACAGGTGCACACCACTGCACCTGCCTCTTGTTGTCTTTTTGATCTTAAAGTCTATTTTGTCTGATTATAATAAAGCTATTTCTACTCTTTTTGGTTACTTGCATGGGATATCTTTTTCTGTCCCTTCACTTTTAACACGTTGTGCCTTTAGACCAAAGGTGAGTTTTTAATAGACATAATATAGTTGGATCACATTTTTAAAAATCCATTCTGCCAATTGTTGTCTTTTTATTGGAGAGTTTCATCCATTTACATTTATAGTAGTTATTGACACGGAGGGAGTTCTGTCATTTTGTTATTTTCTGTATGCCTTATAGTTTTTCTTGACTCATTTTGTGTATTACTATCTTCCTTTGTGCTTAGTTGAGTTTTTGTAGTGAAATGTTTTAATTCCTTCCTCATTTCCTCCTGTGTATTCTTTAGCTATTTTCATTGTAGTTACCATGAGGATCACATTTAACATGCTAAACTTAATAGCACTCTAAATTGAATTTATTCCAGTTTAACTTCAATAACATCAAAAGCTCTTTTATACAGCTCAGTCCCCATCCCCTTTCAATTAATGATGTCACAAAATTATATCTTTATTCATCGTGTGTTCAAAAAATAGTCTAATAATTGTTTTTAAAATGTATTAGTCTCTTAAATTATGTAAAAAACAGAAAGTAGAGTTATAAAACACAGTTACAGTAATACTGACTTATAATTCTTTGTGTATTTACCTTTACATCATCTTCATTTGTTCATATGGCTTCTAGTTACTTTCACATTTCATATCATTTCAACCTGAAGGATTTCTTTTAGTATTTCTTGCAGAGTAGAAATGTTATAAGAAAGTCCCAGGTTATTATTTGTCTGGGAATGTCTTAATTTTTCATATATAGAATTTCTGGTTGACCATTTTTCCTCTAACACTTTGAATATATCAACATACTGCCTCTGGCCTTCATAGTTTCTGATAAGAAATATGCTTATAATTTTATTGGGGATCTTTTATATATGATGAGTTGCTTTTCTGTTGTGCTTTCAAGATTCTGTTTTTGTCTTCCAACAGTTTAATTATAATGTGTCTTTTTTTGGGGGGGTTATCCTATTTGGACCTTATTGAGCTTCTTGAATGCTTATATTCATGTCTTTCATCAGATTTGGGAAGTTTATAGCCATTATTTCTTTATATAATCTCTCGTCCCCTTTCTTTCTCTCTTCTCCTTCTAGGACCCTTAAAATGAGTAAGCTGGTTTGCTTTATTGTGTCCCCCATAGATCCCATAGACTCTGTTCATGTTTCCTTAATCTTTTTTTCCTTCTGTTACTCAGACATGATCATTTCATTTGTCATGTTTGAGATTCATTGATTTATTATTCTGCCTGCTCAAATACACTTTTGAATTCTTATAATGAATTTTTAATAGCAATATTGTCCTTTTTCACTCTAAAATTGTATTTTGGTTCATTTTTATATTCTTTGTCTCTTTTTTGACATTTCCATTTTGTTCACACATCATTTTGTTGACTTTAATTCTTTTGACTCTTTGAGAATCTTTAAGGCAAGTTGTTTTAAAGTCATTTAGTAACTGTGCCATCAAGTTTTCTCAAGGATGATTTCAGTTTATTTAATTTTTTTTCAATTGAGGCTAATACTTTCTGTTTTTTGTATGCCTTGTGATTTTTTTTGTTGTTGACATGGTGTAATATTGTCCTTGATATCAGATTCTTTTCCTTCCTCAGGGTTTGCTGGGTTTTGTTACTTTTTTTCTTTTAAAAATTATTGTTATAGGGTTTTTATGCCAGGAATCAGACTGAGGTATAAACTTAAAGGTCTTCTCAGAGGTTTTCTAAGCTTGTACATTTTGCTGGGCATATGTGATAAGTTTCTAAAATCCTCCATATATATATATTTGCATTTTAATGTTCTAGTCCTTAAGTGTTGGACTTTCAAAAGTAGAAAAAGGAAAAACTGAAGGGAAAAGCTCATTCACTCCCCATATCTAGGGAGGGCATTAATCTATTCATTTGGGATCTGTCCCTGCTATAGTTTGGATGTTTGTCCCCAAAGCCCCACATTGAAATCTGATTCCCAATATTGGAGGTGGGGCCTAATGGGAGGTAGCTGAGTCTGTGCCATCCTCATGATAATGCATGAGTTCTTGGTCTTTTAGTTCCATAGAGTGCTGGTTTTTAAAAATAGACTTTGGCCAGGCGCGATGGCTCATATCTCTAATCCTAGCACTCTGGGAAGCCGAGACGGGTGGATTGTTTGAGCTCTGGAGTTCAAGACCATCCTGAGCAAAAGTGAGACCCCATCTCTACTAAAAAAATAGAAAGAAATTAGCTGGACATCTAAAATATATATATATATATATATATATATATATATACACACACATACATACATACGTATACACAGAAAAAACTAGCTGGGCATGGTGGCACATGCCTGTAGTCCCAGCTACTGGGGAGGTTGAGGCAGGAGGGTTGCTTGAGCCCAGGAGTTTGAGGTTGCTGTGAGCTAGCCTGATGCTATGGCGCTTTAGCCCGGGCAACAGAGTGAGACTCTGTTTAAAAAATAGCCTGTTTCCCCCCCCCCCTTACATCCTCTTTTACTGTATGATCTCTGCACATGCCAGTTCCCCTTTACATTCTGCCATGAGCATAAGCAGTCTAAGGCCCTCACCAGAAGTAAAGGCTGTCACCAAGCTTCTTATACAGTCCATAGAACCATGAGCCAATATCCTCTTTTTTTATACATTACCCAGTCTCAGGTACCCCTCTGGGTTTTATGAAGATTTAAAAAAATCTTTGATTTTTTTGCAGTTTAGTATGATTATGCCAAGGTGTTATTTTTTGGACATTTTATCCTGCTTGGTGTTCTTTGAACTTCCTTGTCTGTTGTTTAGTGCCTGACATTTATTTGGGGAAATTCTCAGGCATTATTCCTTCACGTATTTCTTATGTTTCTTTCTTTCTTCTCCCTGTAGTACAACTATAACTTTTGTAGTTTTCCCAAAGTTCTTCAATATTATCTTTTTTCCAGGCCTTTTTTTCTTTTTCACTTGCCTGTTTTGGAAATTTTTCTCAGTATATACTTAGAGTCAAAGATTCTTTCCTTTCCCATGCGTGTCCAGTCCATTAGTGCAGCAGTCCCCAACTTTTTTGGCAACAGGGACTGGTTTCTTGGAAGGGCAGAAGGAGGAGGCAGAGCTCAGGTGGTGATGCAAGTGATGGCAAAGGGAGTGGTTGTAAATACAGATGAAGCTTCTAGTGAGCCCATCAAAGGCATTTTTCGTTTTTGTTACAGTGTTTTTTTTTTCTACTCAAAGACTGCTTTATTACGGTATAGGGGCTGGGATTGATGGGAAGGTGTAGATGTAGTGGGCAACCACTGCCATAGTTAGCACGGGATCCCCATCCCGTTGGCCACGAATGTGCCAAATGTTCTGCCACTCTGCATCATGGTTTTCCCAATGCCGCCCATCAGCTCCCGACCCCGCATTCCAATCCTGAGACAGGAAAAGGTGCCGAAGAGCGCCCGGCCGCCATGCCCATGGCGCAACCCATCACAAAGCCTGTTTCACACAGTCGAAGCAGCTTGGCTGAGATTGTCCGTAGAGACCCGCGGCCACCGGCGCTCAGCTCTACGTCTCACACGGAAAGCGGGGAGGGAGGGCGCTCAGCCGGAGGAATCCCGGCCCGAGCGCGAGGCACTGTTACAGTGTTGTTTTTTTTTTATTTTGGCATATTATGGGGGTATAGATTTTAAGGTTTCAATAAATGCCCTTTCCCCCTCCCCCCACAAGTCTGAGTCTCCAGCATGACCATCCCTCAGATGGTGCGCATATCACTCATTATGTATGTATATACCCGCCCTCCCTCCCCAATACCCTATTACTGTAGCACCTATGTGTCCACTTAGGTGCTACTCAGTTAATACCAGTTTGCTGGAGAATATATGTGGTGCTTGTTTTTCCATTCTTGGGATACTTCACTTAGTAGTATGGGTTCCAGTTCTAACCAGGAAAATATAAGATGTGCTATATCACCGTTGTTTCTTAGAGCTGAATAGTACTCCATGGTATACATATACCACATTTTATTAATCCATTCTTGGATTGATGGGCACTTGGGCTGTTTCCACAGCCTTGCGATTATGAATTGTGCTGCTATAAACATTCGAGTGCAGGTGTCTTTTTTGTAGAGTGTCACTGGATCATTTGGGTAGATGCCCAGCAATGGGATTGCTGGATCAAATGGTAGATTCACTTGTATCGCTTAGTTATCCATTATCCAAATAGGTTTGAATCCTTCTGGTCTAAATTTTTATATTTTATTTCTTATGTATGTACTTATATGTTATAGTATGTTTTGTATTTATTAATTTTATTACTAGTGACATTATGCTTATCATTCCAAAACTGGTTTGTTTTCCACTCAGCCTTATATTTTAAGTATTATCCAGTACCTTAGATTTTTAATTTATTTTCTCTGTAGGTAGAATTTGTTATCACACTTCATACTTTATTTTGTACCTGCCTTTTGATATATGAACCATGCTTGAAATATATTAAAAATTTGCTTCGGCTTATGATTGTCTGATTACACATAGGTTGGATTATCATGGTACTTGTATTGTTGGAGTTTTACTTTTAAACCTCTTTGACTTATTTAATATTTGTGTAGTACTACTCTTTTGCTCATTTTGCATTTGCACAATCCTGCAGTGTGGATATCCTTTTTTTTTTTTTCTCCCAACGATACGTGGGGAATTTTAAGGCAGAATGGGGAGGAGAAGTTATTTCTCAAATCTGAGTTCAGAATTTTTTTCACTACTCACATCTTATAGTCTGTCATATAGGAATGTATTTGTAACCTATTGGATTTTTATTTTGAGTATAATACAATTCTATTTTGCAGGAGTTTACAACCAAGTAAGAAAGCAGATAACAATTCTGCAAAGCAGTCTGCGCGTGCTAAAGAAAAGAGAAAAGATGATGATGGCATTTCTGTTTTAATGTCTGATACTCAGCCTAAAGGTTTGTGAACCTTAGAACACTGTTGGAATTTGAATTTTTGTTATTACATTTATAATAATTTTTGTGTTATAAATAAATAACTTTATTTCATCTTATTTTGAAAAGAGGTAAAGGGAGATTAATTTGCAAGACAAAGAAAATTGCTAAATCTACACTATTTATGTACTGTAGTACATATTTCTTGATTAATTTACTAATCCTAATGTTAAGTTTACTAATCTCCATAATTAAATGTTATTTTTATTTTTAGTTTTTTTTGGGGGGGCTTGGGCATATAGCTATAAAGTTACAATGTTTAGCTATTTCTAAGTGTTATTTCCATGGATATTGATATTACTGCTAACTAGGTTTTTATTATTAGCATCCCACTGTCTTTCCTCCTACCATGAAATACATTCTCTGCTCAACTCTAGTAGGAGGCCAAAACAATCCACAATTAGCAAATTTGAAGGCAAATACATGTCAGATTTCTGAAAATGTTTTGTAGGTCTCCTTGCATATAGGATTAATGATTTGACTTTTCTCCTTTTTGTCTCTCATGATTTAAAAATATTTTACCAAAACTTGTAGAAAAATTACCACATTATTCATTTATGAAACTAACAAGTTCAGGGGTCTCAAGGATTATAGATATACCTTCAAGCAAGTTTAGGTATTTTATTTTCTGAATGATTTTGTAGGTTATTCACAAGAAAAAAAGTTCTTTAATGACACTATGCAAAAATTCATTGCATTTTATTTGGAACATAGCTGTTTAAATAGTCTTTTAGTAGCCCTTTTCATAGAAAAGAAGTTGTTAAATGGAGACTAGAGTAATAACTTTTATATGTATAAGAAACCAGCTGAAACTCATATGAGGGCAGTCTTTGGGGAAAGTACTGTGACTTTTTTTTTTTAATGTACTTTTCCCAGAAATAACTACAATTGGTTCTCTGTATCTGTGGGTTCCACATTTGTGGATTCAAGCAACCACTGATGAAAATATTTGGGGAAAAAAATAACAATATAACAATTAAAAAATCTAGTATAATAACTATTTACATAGCATTTACATTGTGTTAGGTATTATAAATAATCTAGAAATGATAGAGGTGTACGGGAGAATGTACATAGTTATATGCAAATACTACACCATTAAGAGACTTAAGGATCTGTGGATTTTGGTATCCTGGGTGTCCTCGGAACAGTCCCTTATAGATACTGGGGGATGTCTATGTTTCATTACCAAATAAACTTATAAGTATTTGTACAAGTGGGCTCAGTTCAGATACTATTAAAACAATCCTTAGACTCACATTCCACTGCTTTCCTGGGGAGAGTAGGAATATTTGAATAAAAAGCTGTCCGATTTGTGCCCATGAATACCACCTCAATATTACAGTGGAATTTTAGATGTGCATCAGGGAAAATTTCATAATAAAAGAAACACTTTATATTTTAGTATTCCTGAAGGTACTACTAATAAGTAAAGTATTTTCAAGAAAATTAGCTTTATTGAACCTTTATTGAAACCTTTATTGAAAATCACAATCTTTGTTCTCTTATAGATAGTTGTATCTAATATCAGTTATTTAATGTAAACCCCAAAATTAATGGAAATTTTGAATTAAATCTAGGTGTACCATTCTTTTTGTAGTATATTAAGTTTGTCTTGTGGAATTTGATTTTATGAAAATAATATGTTAGAAATATTTAATATTCTTTTGTTTACAGGATTTTGACATCTCTTTAATTTTATGTAGTAGTAATATTTGCAGGTTAAGTTGTGTATATTATGTAGGTAGAATCTTATTTTTACAATGTCTAGCTCTTTATAATAAAGTTATTCCTTTTTCCCATGAGATAAGCTTGACTGTTAGGCAAATAATAAATTGTTTAAAGGAAAACTCCTGTATCATTGAGTTTTTCTCAAGCCCCTTTCTGTTCACTTTCATCATTTTACTGTAGTATTTATGTCTAGAAATTATAATTTGATGCATTATTTATGTTTAGAAATTGTATTTGACTACTATACAGTTTATAGTATTACAAAGAAAATTTAATGGCCTTTTCAAAATACTGTATTGATGATTTTGAGGGAGTTTTATTTTCCTGAGGGAGTAAGGATAGTGTTTTCTTTGGAAATTGAAACTCTTTTGGAGTTTTTGCCTTTAATCTTGTCCCAGTGCCTTCCTTTTAAGCAACAGCAAAGACAAATTATCATGAATGTTAGTTATTAGGAGTCATTGAAGCTAGAGTTAAGAGCAACAATAGTTTGAAGAAAAAGTGTGTGGTGTTGAAGACCTTTCATTGAATGGAGAGGTCAGACCAATCAGTTTTAGATTAATTATAAGTTGTGAATTAAAGGAAACAATACATTTTTAATTGGTACTTGTATGATATAGATTCAGAAAGCAAAATGATTGAGTATAACTTTCACTTATTTAGGTAGAATCTTTTGGAAGGTATTTTTATACAGTACATTTATTTGATAACTGAAATACTAAGCATTTTTAGTAATAATTGGCATGGGTTTCAAAATGATGCCTTATTGACTTCAGAAAGTACTTATTTTTCTTTAGAGTGGCGGATTTTTTATTGGAAACTTAAAATGACAAGGTATTTTTCTTATTAAAAAGGAAAAACATTTTCTTCTAGAATTCTTATAGTTTCATGCCTTAGGTTTAAGTCCGTAATATTCTGAAATAAAAAAATATATATTAAAAAAAAGAAAAAACAAACTGTCAAGAAAATTGATAGCCTTGTGAATGATCACATATTACAGTCAACTGCTGAGGATATGTGTTTTGACTCCTTTTTAAGAGTAGCAATTAACATTCTATTCATTATAGATTCCTTTTCCTTTTAAAAATATTTATTTATGTAACTTACATTTTAAAAAGACTAGTTTATGAAATCACATGAATTAGCAAAATTATTTTTAAGACATGAATTTTCCAAATTTTCTTAAGACTTTTTTTGGTGTTACAGCCCAATGCATTTATAGCAAATAGAAAAACATGGTTTGGTTGCTTTGCTGTGGTTACTCTCTAAAAGGATAATCCTTGTTTATGTATTGCTCTTATCTCACATCTATTGTATTATGAACATTTACTTTGTGTATACAGATTAAAATAGGGTATGCCTTTATATTTATCCAGTGTCAATGTGAGAATTTAACAGTAGACATCTGTTTTAATGAGCTTTGGAAGTAGTATAGCAAGTTTGATGATGTTTCTTCAAGCTCCTCTTGAAGGGGTTCTTTCTGTACTTTTTGGCCATATTTATACCTCTTTTGTTTTTTCAGACCTTGACAATGGAAGTAGAGGTTGTGATCATCTTGAACAGGGTAGTAGAAAGAAGGATGTTACATGTTCTGACTCAAAAATGGAACCTACTCAGATTTCCAGGAAGACAAAGAAAAAGCTTAGAAGTAATTTACCTGATTCTAATTCTACTTCCTCTTTGGATATATCAACAGAACAGATAGTAAGTAGAGGTATTTAGATGTCATAGGAAATAATTTTGTGCTATGATAAAAAATGAGTTGACTGTGGCCAAATAATGTTCCCCTAGCTTTTTGCTTTTGTGATCAGATTTCTCTCTATCTTTTTAGGTTTTTGTTAGCTTTATTTATTGATTGATTCATTGATTCAGAGTCTCACTCTGTAGCCCAGGCTAAAGTGCCATGGCATCAAGCCTAGCTCACAGCAACCTCAAACTCCTGGGCTCAAGCAATTCTCTTGTCTCAGCCTCCTGAGTAGCTAGGACTACAGGTGATGCCTGGTTAATTTGTCTATTTTTAGTAGAGATGTGGTCTTGCTCTTGCTCATGCTGGTTTCGAACTCATGAGCTTAAGTAATTCACCTGCCTTAGCCTCCCAGAGTGCTGCGATTATAGGTGTGAGCTACCATGCCCAGCCTGTTAGCTTTATTTTTTAAAAATGATTTAAGTGTAACTTTTCTCAGTAATACAGTTATTGGAGCAAATTTCAAATGTTAAATGTAAGTAAAAAGTTAAAATTGCTTGTTCTCCGATACCACTCTTTCCTTAGTAGTTTGGTGTAGATCTTTCAGACTTCTTTTCTTTTTCCTTATTTTAGCTAAATACTATTCATACTGTCTAGTCGCTTGTTTTTTTACTTTGTAAAATTATTGTCAGCTTTATTTTTTCAACAGTAAATTACTGTTGAAAAGAATTACTGTTGCAAAAGTAATTCTTTATTCTTCTACTTATCTAGAAGTTAGGCAATTTATTATAAGTGAAGAATTATCATACTTAATATATACATTACCTATTTTTCAAAGTCTTAGCATATAGTTAGCAATAAAACTATAAGATAGCTTTTTGATTCTTATAATTCACAAGCCATTTCAGGACCTTGTAGTGCCTTTGGGTTATAATTATAAACATGATTTAGTTATACAGAAATGGAGATACTGAAGATAATAGTTGATTTTCATAAATGTTAATGTTATCCTATTAAGTTTTCAATTTTTTGCTTTTGTTACTAAAGTAGTTGTTCACATGGCCCTATTACTTTTGCAAAATAAAAATGTTAAAAAAAAACAGCTTTTCATTCTGAAGTTGATGTAGGTAGTGGAAAACCATATCAACCACTTTAAAGATGGGAATCTCACCCTTTAAAAAATTATTTAGGCATTGGATTGGACAGACCAATTCCTACATCTTTATACTTGGGAGACACTGGCAAGCACAATTTAGTATAATTGTGTAGTTTTCTATCCATGTAGTTATAGAAATGATATATTTTTACCTTTTTTTAGTTTAAATCTCAAAAATATGGTATAAGTAAGCCAAATTTTAAAAAATGCTTTTTTTCTATGTGCTTTTGTTCAGAAAGGACAAGAAAATGACTCAACAGTATCCACTGAGTTTGAGAAGTCAAGTGAAAACTATCAGCAGGACCCAAAATTGCTTGAAGAAATCACACCTAAACATACAGAAAGTGGTTTTACTGAACTACCCTCACTTAATAGTCAGGAGTTGGCTGTGAGTGCTCCTCCCAAAAGTGCCTCTGTCTGTTCAACCACTGAAACTCTTGAGAGCTCTATTGTCAAAGATACTGTGGGGATTTCTTCTTCGGTTGAGAAGGATGAGAATGAGTTGAATACAATAGAAAAGCCTATTCTAAGTGGACACAGTGAAGGAAATCAATCATTGATCTCTGCTGAACCAAGTGAGTAACAAGAGGATTATAAAGGCACTTAATTTTCTCTGCTTTATTTACTTAGTTGCTTTTTTCTCCTGTTGAAGAAATTTTGCTTAGGAAATATGCTGTTTATGACATCACTATGGAAGACATTAACTGTAGGAAAAAAGACTTGGTGTTTTGGGATTTCTTTCATGAAATCTTATATTTATTTAGGTAAACTAATGGAATATTTGGAAGAAGAAAATAATTTTTTCTTTGATTAGTACACTGATAATCCAACTCAGTAGTTTTAAAATAGCTTCTTTAAGTACCATTATTATTGTCAATTGGTTGATGAAGCTAAAGTATGGAGAATTGAGTGCCACCTAACTATTATTCATTTTGCTTTAATCACTTTCTGAATAGTTGATATAGTCGCATGTACAAAAAGTTGATAAGGTTTGAAAGGATATATATATATATATATATATATATATATATATGGAATAGTCTCCCACATCTTGTTCTAGCTATCCATTTTCCCCACCAGAAGCAACTAATGTAACTAGTTACTAGTATAGTATGTACTACTAGTATAGTAACTATGTTACTAGTTACTAATGTAATCCTGTTACTAATGTAACAGGATTTAAAGTACCATTTAGAGAGTTGGCACAATCCATTGTTAGAACTAGAACTTATACCTAAGGCCTCCTCATGGCTTTATCCATTTTTTTTTTTTTAATTATTTTTTTTATTTTGGCATATTATGGGGGTACAGATTTTAAGGTTTCAATAAATGCCCATTTCCCCCCCTCCCCCACTTTATCCATTTTTAAAGGTCTTTATTCTCTAGAAAGTAAGGTTGCAGATAAATGTTGAATAATAATACTGATATGGGAACATTGCATATAACTAGTATAAATTAGATAATGGATGATAGATAAGTTTCTAAATTGAACAAATTTAGATGTTTAAACTTAATGGGATTATTAAAGATATATTACAGTAGTTAGAAAGTTCTTTTTTATATGTGCTTATTGTAACATATTTAAATATATTTTTCCCTTTTAGTTGTTGTTTCCAGTGATGAAGAAGGACCCATTGAACATAAAAATTCAGAAATTCTTAAATTACAGCCTAAGCAAGATCATGAAATCACTAATGAAAATAAGAGTACTTCTGAATCAGCATTGTCAGAACTACCACTGGTTACATGTGAAACTGTACAGGTAATTTATTTCTGGCTTCTCACAGATGAACAATGAAATATATACTATTGGCTAATGACTGGTATTTGTTTTATCAATAGGAAGATTGTAATAAAGATTACAAATTTTCTTAGTTTAAATTTTGAGACAACTTTTATGCTAGTTTGAGTGATGTATATAAATATTTTTATTTTGAAATGAAAGGATTATACCATTTTTTTCTGGTCACTTACATTTTTTCAGTCTATTCTATAACTTGAATAATTTTTTTTTAATGGTTCTCATTAGACATTTAACTGTTTTATCAAAACATTTTCTAGAATCAGACGGTTTCTAATATTTGTCTGTCTGGTCTTGGAGTACTATGGCTACTTGGAATTATTCCTTTTCCTCATGTATCAGAAGGCAGTATGATATAGAGGAAAGAACATGGCTTCTGAAAATATATAGATCTGTGTTCAAATCCTTGCTCTGCCATTTGGGCAAGGCATTTAACCTCCTTAAGCCTGAATTTCTCCATATGTTAAATGAGAATTATAGCACCTACCTCACAAGATTATTTTGAGTATTAAATGAAATAACAAATTAAACCATTTATAATAGTGTCAGAAACCTATAAAATTTGGTAAGTCCTTTGTCTCTTCCTTGTTATAGAAAATAATAAATGGAAGTGTCAGTATCAGACAGTTAATTCAGTCCTTTGAAGAGTGTAGGTCCAAAATAAAATTCAAATCATTTTATTGTCTGTACTCTTTCTTGTTATTGGCCTCTGATTATACTATTTGTAAGAAATGTTTACCAATGACCGTCAGTGCAGAATTATGGTAAAATTCTATTGATTTTTTAAAAAAATAATGTCAGAAGCTGTTATTTTGCAGAGTATGATGAACAGTTTGGTCAGATCTATGCAAAAAGTTTAGTCTGATTATTATTTCATGAATATTTCTTTTGCATTTAGCACTCAATACAGAAATCACCTCAGCACATTTGTTTTGAATTTCTGCTAAAGTGAAACCATTCTTGCCAGATTGGGTCAACTGGCTTAGTCGTATTTATAATTGAAGGTATTATTGTTGATGATGAATTTAAACTTGTAGAAGAATTATGATTGCCATGACAGCACATAAACTGACAACATAGTATGAAATGATCATATGATAAGAAAATAACATCTCTTGAGGAACTTATAGAATTCATGATCACAACCAAGCAGCAAATACTGTGGAGATCTACCAAGACATATGAGGCAGAATGCCACATCTCCATGCTCTCCCTTGTTTCCTGTTTTAAATGAATTATGAGAAACATGGATTGGTCATTTTTAGGAGACAGTCTTTATAAAATGTGAGGCCCAGTAAAAAATTATTTCAAAACCAACCTCTCCTTTTATCATTAAAAAATATCACAGTTATTTGTCTGATTTATTGGAGCCACTTGTAGTTGATTTGATTCCCTTTTTTACTTAGGGGATAAGAAGATAGTATACTAAACAATAAAAGATGAGAATGACAAGGAAATTCAATTAAGCAGGTAAATGGCATTGTGAGCTGGGTTAAAAATGAGTATGATGTATGTTTTAGATGAGGAGTAATCACATTTGCTAGAGGTAGGAGGGGTGTGAGTTCACATGCATAATAATTACCGTAGTAATAATTTGGTCATTTGTGATATTAGGGTTAAAGAAGGATAATGTGCAGAGTCTCTAGGCAAGTGTGGAGTTGAAAAAGTCACCTGAAAACAGTGTAACATTCAGAAGAGATTGTGGGAAACAATTCCTGCTGATATTGCCTGGTTGTCGGTCATAATTTAAATGCAAAGTTATGTAGTTGTTTGAGTGGAAGGGGGATGATTTTTGAGGTTCTAGGCAAGTATAAATCATTTCTGGTTGGCTATCTTCAAACATAGAGTATAGTAAAGCATATGGATTTGATATAATAGATGATTCTTAGGTGCTTATATCTCTTCATTGCTCATTAAAAGTGCAATAGCAAGAACATTATCTTGGTCAATGGAAGCAATCTTATATGATTAAAATAACATTTGACCTGGAGACAGAAACCTGGGTTTGAATCTTGGTTTTGCTTCTTACAGGTTGTATGACCTTGGGCAAATCACTTAACCAATCCAAACATCTGTTAACTTTATTTATGAAATATGGGGGAAAACCTACCCATAGAGTAGTTGTGGAGCTTAAAAGAGATAATATATTTAAAAATTCATTTTAAACTAAAGCACTATATAAAATCTAAATTTATTTCTGTTGAAGCAAAAATATGAATAAACCCTATTAGAGAATATTGAATGTGAAACCATTTTGGATTAATTTTGGATTCAACTAATTTAGCATAATTTTCTCAAGAGAAATCATATACCTCTTCAGGAAAAAAATCTGGATAGTTATTTCTTTACAGTAAGAACAGTGTTAAATCCTTCAAAAATTAATTAATATAATTTAATGAAGAATTTGTGAAAAATCATTTTCAGCATTTATATAATACTTTGGGTTATATGTATTTTATAATTTATTCCTTGTTAGGCATCATCTGAATTATGTCCATATAATCCTGTCATGGAAAACATTTCCTGTATTATGCCTAGTAATGAGATGAATCTCCAACTGGATTTTATATTTACTTCTGTCTATATTGGTAAAATAAAAGGAGCTTCTAAAGGTTGTGTTACAGTAAGTATATTTAAAAATTTTTTTTCTTTTAGTTTTGTATCTTGGACAAGGCATTTTCTGATTTTTTTTCTCTGTTTTTTGTAGCATAAATGAAAATATAATTGAGAATAATTTTTTATGGGACACTTTGGATACTTTTTAAGTTATTATACTTACTTTCAAACGTGTCTTTAATCCCCCACTCCCCAAATCATACTTCATCTGACTACTCTGATAAAAATTAGGAATGAAAAAAAATCACATGTGATACTGATATGCTTTGGGCTCTAAAAGTGACTTGATAGTAAATTTTTTTCAGGTTATAGTTTGGAACACAAAGAAGAAATCTCATTTTGCTGGTTTAAATTGTTGTAAACTGACTTCTCCAAATTCCAAAATTTGTCATTTAAGGATGTCCAGGAACGGAATCCTAATCTATTTTTTTACCTTTTTTTAGTATTCCTTTTCATATCCTATATATGTAAGCCAGACTGGATCAGTTCTCTATGTTTTCTCACCATTTCTGCCTCTTAAAATCGTCTTTTAAGGTTTATCTGAAATACTGCCTTTTCTAGGAAACCTTCCCTGATCCCTCCTTTTCAGACAGAGTTAACTTCTTTCTTTACTGTGTCCTTACAGCACTTCATTTGTACATTTGTTATAAGATTTATTGGTTTTATAATTACATATATTCTTACCTAAATCTTTCCATTAACCTTTAAACTTCTTATGGTGAAGAGCCATCCTTTTATTTATATACTTTTATTTTTTATTTTACTTTTTTTATTTTAGCGTATTATGGGGGTACAAGTGTTAAGGTTATATATATTGCCCATGGTCCCCCTCCCCCTTCGAGTAATAGCTTCAAGCATGTCCATCCCCTAAACATTGCACATCTTACTCGTTTGGTTGTTATTTATATACTTTTATACCTTCCATAAATGGCTAAGTTTTAAGGAGGCATTTATAAATGTTGAATTGACTATCTCAATTGTAACTCAGGTATTTTTCTAGCAGTTTTATTAATATTTCTCCATGTTAGGATAGAGCAGAGAATATAAAAATAGTAAGATATGGGTTTTGCTTTCAAGAAACTTGTAGTCTAATAGAAGAGACAGACATGTAAATATATATTTACTTTACATTATGCTAAAATGTACATTTAAATATGTACAAGAAAGGTGCATATAGGAACGGATACTTATAAACGTCTGAAAGAATCAGGGAAAGCTTCACAGACAAGACAGCACATGATTTAAGAGATGAAGTAGATGTTTACTTGGTGACCATACAGAGGGTAAGACCTAATCCTGATAGAGCAAATATCATGTACAAATCTGGCAAATTCTCAGAACTGCAAATAATGGTAGCTTGTGATATAGTCAAAATTGCTCTGATTAAAAGCTCAAGAACGAGTTGGTTTAAAAATAATATTTCTTGGCCACTGGTTTTCAAATATTATTTATTTGGCATGCCTGGGGTGATTTTACAATTTTTTTTCTGTAAGAAATTTTGTTAGTTTTTTGTAATTTTCTCCTGTTTTTCTTTTTTAATTTTAAATTTAGGTTCAACCAATTATTCCTGTTGATTTCTCTGTAATGAACAAAAAGTTGGCTATCCTAACTGTATGACAATAATTGATTAGCCAGGGGACATCTTAATTTATTATCTTGTGTTTACTGGAAAATTTCTTTTTTTTTTTCTTCTTTTCATATATAGTCAGATAGGAGAGGGAACATTTCTTATAATTAAAATAAAAACTCTAAATGTTTAATTATAGGAAAGTGATTTAGTAAATCAAAGTAAATATAAACATGTGGACCAAGGCTGAGAGGAATGCTACAAAAATTAAGACAGTTATGTTATAAAAGAACATAAGCAGTTCGAAAATTTAAAAAGTATAATGATAACATAAAAAAGGGAAAAGGGCCGGGCGTGGTGGCTCACGCCTGTAATCCTAGCACTTTGGGAGGCCGAGGCGGGCGGATTGCTCAGGTCCAGAGTTCAATAACCACCTGACGAGACCCCGTCTCTACTAAAAAAAAGAAAATAAATTAATTGACCAACAAAAATATATATACAAAAATTAGCCGGGCATGTGGTGCATGCCTGTAGTCCCAGCTACTCGGGAGGCTGAGGCAGGAGGATTGCTTGAGCCAGGAGTTTTGAGGTTGCTGTGAGCTAGCTGACGCCACGGCACTCACTCTAGCCTGGCAACAAAGTGAGACTCTGTCTCAAAAAAACAAAAACAAAAAAAAAAACAAAAAAAAGGAAAAGGATAAAATCTTAACATTTCATGTTTTCAGAAGACTTTTATATGTATTTTCAGAGTTCAGGTTGTCTGTAAGGAAATTAAAGAACTTTTTTTGCAGGTAAATATGTTAAAATTAAATTTAATTTTCTCTCAACATTCAGTGAGTGGTAACCATATGTTAGACATTGTTGTAGACACTGGACATGTTTGTTTAACTCTCATTATATTGCATTTAGCTGAAAAAATACCTGTGACAAGAAACTATTACATAAAACTATTACAGAACCATTTTTCTAAAGTTGGACATTTAAGTTTTCTTTCTTTTTTTCTTTTTAGAGAAAGGGTCTCACTCTGTCACCCCGCGCTGGAGTGGGTGGCATGATCATAGCTCTGTGCAGCCCAACACTGGGACTCAAGTGATCTTCCTGGACTACAGGCACACACCAGCACACCCAACTAATTTTTTTATATTTTATGGAGACAGAGTCTTGCTATGTTGCCAGGCTGTTCTTAAACTCCTGCCTCAAGCAATTTTTCTACCCCTCCCACCTCCTATAGTGCTGGGATTACAGGCATGAGCCACTGCACCTGCCTTGTTACAGAGAATGCTGTGACAGATATGAACATTTTCGATTTACTTTTTCTTTTTTTTTTTTTTTTTTTTTTTTGAGACAGAGTCTCACTTTGTTGCCCGGGCTAGAGTGAGTGCCGTGGCGTCAGCCTAGCTCACAGCAACCTCAAACTCCTGGCTCGAGTGATCCTTCTGCCTCAGCCCTCCGGTAGTCTGGACTACAGGCATGCGCCACCATGCCCGGCTAATTTTTATATATAATATCAGTTGCCAATTAATTTCTTCTATTTATAGTAAGACGGGGTCTTGCTCAGGCTGGTTTTGAACTCCTGACCTTGAGCAATCCGCCCGCCTCGGCCTCCCAAGAGCTAGGTTACAGGCGTGAGCCACAGCGCCCGGCCTCGATTTACTTTTCTACCTACCCAATAGATTAGGGGTACAGTTATTTTTTGTTACATGAGTGAATTATATAAAGTGAAGTCAGGGGTTTTAGTATAGCCGTCACCAGAATCATGTACATTGTCCCAATAAGTACTTTCTGATTCTTCACCTCCTTCCACCCTCTATTTTGCTTAGTTTCTAAGTCCATTAAACAAATTATGGCCTATAAATCATCATTTAGCTCCCACTTATGAAGTGAACATGAGATTTTTGTTTTCCTTTGAGATACTTCATACAGGATAATGGTCTCTAGTTTTCATCCAAGTTGTACAAAAGACATATATTTCATTATTTTTGTGGCTGAGTTGTATTCCATGATGTGTGTGTGTGTGTGTATATGTATATCTCACATTTTCTTTATCTACTCATTACTCATTAGTTATGGACAGTTAGGTTGATTTCATAACTTCAATTGTGAATCATACTGCAATAAACATTCAGTGCAAGTGTTTTTTTATAATGACTTCTCTTTTGGGGCAGATGCCCAGTAGTGGATTTCTGGTCAGACTGTAGGCCTACTTTTAGTTCTTTCAGGAACTCCATAATGCTTCATAGAGGTTGTACTAATTTATATTCCCACCAACAGAGTATAAGTATTCTCTTTTCACTGCATCCACACCAACATCTATTTTTTTTTTTTTTTTTTTTTTACTTTTTAATGATGGCCATTTTGACAGGGGAGAGGTGTTATCTCACTGTGGTTTTAATTTGCATTTTCCTGATGATTAGTGATATTGAGCATTTTTTCATATGTTTGTTGGTCATTAATATATCTTTTTTTTAAAAAAAAAGTCTGTTCATATCTTTAGCCTACTTTTTGATAGGTTTTTTTTTTTCTGCTGATTTTTTTATAGATTCTGTATGTTAGTCCTTTGTCATAGTTTATGAATATTTTCTCCCATTCTATAGGTTATCTATTTACTCTGATGATTATTTCCTTTGTTGTGCAGAAACTTTTTAGTTTAAGTCCTATTTATTTATTGTTATTGCGGTATTTGCTTTTGAGGTCTCAGTCATAAATTCTTTGCTTAGGCCGATGTCTAAGAGTTTTTCCTATGCTTTCTTCCAGAATTTTTATGGTTTTAGGTCTTACATTTAGGTCTTCAATCTATCTTGAATTAATTTTTGTATATGGTGAGAGATAGGTATCCATTCTTCTGCATGTGGCTATCTAGTTTTGTCAGCACCATATATTGAATATAGTAACTGTTCCCCATAAATTTATTTTCCCCTGTAAATTTTTTTCTGCTTTGTCAAAAGTCAATTGGTTGTAGCTGTATGGTTTTATTTCTGGGTTTTCTATTGTGTTCCATTGATCTGTGTGTCTGATTTTATACCAGTATCATGCTATTTTTGTTACCATGGCTTTATAGTATAATTTGAAGTCAGGTAAGGTGATGCCTCCAGATTTGTTGTTTTTACTTAGGATTGCTTTGCCTATTTGGGCTCTTTTTTGATTCTACATAAAATTTAGGATTTTTTTTTTTAATTCTGTGAAAAATGACTTTGGTATCTTGATAGGAGTTGATTGAATATTACTTTGGGCAGCATGGACATTATAACAATATTAATTCTTCCAATCTAGAGCATGGGATGTTTTTCCATTTGTTTGCGATGATTTCTTTCATCAGTGTTTTGTATTAACAATTCTCCTTGAAGAGATTTTTCACCTTCTTGGTTAAGTATATTCCTTGGTGTTTTATAATATTTTCTTTGCAGTTATTGTAAATGATATTGTGTTATTTATTTTGTTTG